TTAAATAAAATATTTGTGGTAAAATACAGATCTGTCTCTTAATCTGATAAAGCAAATTCTTATATTTTTGCCTCTTGGATTGTATTAGATTTTCTTAGTTAAAATCACTCTTCATTCTAACTATCAATTACTTCTGAATAGAAAACTGATTTTTTTCCATATATTTGGTATGTACTCTTAATTTTTAGAGTTACAGGAATAGTCTTCTAAGAAATACTCATATCATTTATATAAAACCAATGGCAATGTTAACCAGTGACATATTACTGAAATATAACTGCTCAAGACCAAAATATCACTTATTTTAGCAAATTCTCCTGATACTGTTGATATATAGAGTTTGCTACAAGTTTTCATGCAAGCTGTATTTTGGTAAATTTCAGACAATTTGCAAATGATTAGAATTTCAGAGGTGTTTATTTTTTTTAACTTTAAACCTGTCATCTCTGATTTTAGCATAACATGTTGTAGTCTACTTTCTTCCCAATGCAGTGATTTTATTCTTTAAGGTGCACTAGAAAGTCTATATACTAAAAACACGGATTCCCCTGAACCCACCAGTAGAGATCTTTGTGTAGCTGAATACTGCATTTTAAAATGCATCTTCAGTACCACTGATGGAATAGGTGAAAGACAGTCTTTTCAGAAACACCACCCTGCAGGATTGGAGTCACACAGAGGGATCTAGGTTGAATTCCTGTCTCAGTGGATTTAGAGAGTGACTAAGAAAAAGAGTAGGTGTGTTTGACCCTGGGGTTCTCATGTTAGCAACGTGAGCATTGCCTTCCTTTTGCTGACACCTCCTCATTTAACCAAATTGAGACCTGAAAGATGGCTGCTCAGGAGTGTCTCATAGGGGTCACTGCATCTGGACTACCACTGTGGGTCCAGCATCCTGGCGAAAAGTTCTGTGCTTACGACAGCTTACTGAAATGATTATACCCTAGAAGAAAAAAAATCAACTTTACCTAACTCCTAAGAAATCCGACTAATAACAAGATAATATATGTTATTAATTCTCCTTTGTAAGATACACCTGTTTCAAAGTCTAGTGCCTGTCACTGGCGCATCCCATTCCTTCTGCTAGTCACGTCCACTCTGAAGACCAGGGTATCAGAAAGAAATTTGCTTGATGCCCAAAGAATTAGAACTGTTGGCTATTCTCAAGAACTATTTACATCAAATTATTAAAGGCTTATATTTGCTCTTCTATAATTTGGGAAATTTAATTCAAAGAAACAGAGCCAGTAATAGAATCAGATCATCGTCTTTTTTAAGCTGGATGGAACACCAATACAGTCTTAACTTTCATTACCCTTTATTATTACATCTCAAAAATCATCATTATTTCATACCTGACATTTTATAATTATAATTAAATAAGTTATTTTGGCATTGCAGTTGTGTCTTGAAGAAAAGTTTACTGGGTGTTTTGATAAAGATTTAGAATTCACTAAGTTGAGATGGATCCACCTTGTTTGCCAAAATCCTGTCATCTCTCAAAAATAATTACTTGATTGACTACAATTTTAGTAAAAAGTTTCACTTCATAACAAAATAAAAGAAAAGAAAGAGAGAAAGAAGAAAGATTGATTTAGAATACAATGTAGCTTCCTTACTACTGTAATAATACTGGCAGGGTGGAATATGGATAGTCAATTCTCCATTGTATTTTTATTATTACCAGCTTCAATTTCAGAGAGTAACCTTCCCCTGCTTTGAAGAGAGCCTCAGTTAAAGATTTCATGTTTTATTTGATATTATACTTTTGAGGTGAATACCTCTGATTACCTCATCACTTATTATGAATAAATGTTATCTCAGTGTAACATTCTGCTTTTGAATCATATCTTAAAGTGAATCTAACCAGAAACACAATATATGCTGTTTGTTTAACCTTTTGTGGTAAATGTGGTAGGTAGTTTATGATTTGGCAAGCATTTCTAGCTCCAAGCCTCTTAAAAAAGTTCAAAATATGTGGGTTCAAATTTTCTTAATTAGTCTAAACTCTTTATTAGCAAAGCATTAAGCTTTTATCTGTTTCTTAATGTTGTAAAACATCTGATAATTACCCTGAAGAACCAAATCTAATCCTTTTAACACTTTCCCTATTAAATGTCTGTAAGGAGAAAATGAAAACGCATTACTTCTGGAGTGGTGGAGGGGTGATGAACCACTTCCTCCATTAAAAAAATTTAATTAATTGGATTTATCAATCCTGACTCTACAGTCTAGGTAGAAGAAACAACTGAAGCTAGGGCTCTGACTGGAGTTTTCCTTCTTAACTCTTAGTATTTTAGTCATCTTACCTTGCCATCCTTTATTTAGTGTTCAGGAACTCTTTGTTTTGTTTTTTAATTAATAAACTTTATTTTTTAGAGAAATTTTAGGTTAATAGCAAAATGGAACGCAAAGTACAGAGAGTTCCCACATACCCCCATCCCTACACACACAGCCTCCCTGTCAAAATTCTGCACCAAAGTGGTACACCTTTTACAATCAGTGAACCTACACTGACCCATCATTATCACCTGAAGTCCATAGTTTACTTTGGGGTTCCCTCTTGGTGTTCTACATTCCAAGGGTTTTGGCAAATGTGTAATGACATGTATCTACCATATAGTATTATATGGAAGAGTTGTACTGCCCTAAAAATCCTCTGTGCTTTGCCTGTTCATCTCCTCCTCTATTTTAACCCCTGGCAACCATTAATTTTTTTGTCTTCATAGTTTTGCTTTTTTCCCAGACTGTAATGCCATTGGAATCATAATACAGTATATAGCCTTTTCATATTGGCTTTTTCCACTTGGTAATATGCACTTAAGTTTCTTACATGTTTGTTCATGGCTTGATAGTTCATTTCTTTTTAGTATTAAATAATATTACATTGCATGGATGTATTGAAGTTTATCAATTCACCTACTGAAGGACATCTTGATTGCTTTCAAGTTTTGGCTAATACAAATAAAGCTGCTGTAAACATCTGTGGGCAGCTTTTTGTGTGGACATAAGTTTTCAATTCATTTGGGTAAATACCAAGGAGCCTGATTGCTAGATCGAATGGTAAAAATATGTTAACCAGCAAACTGTCTTCCAAAGTGTCTCTACCATTTTTGAATTACCACCAGCACTTAATGAGAATTCCCATTTCTCCACATCCTCACCAGCATTTGATGTTTTCCATGTTTTGGATTGTAGACATTTTAATACAGAGCTAATGGTACCTCATTATAATTTGCAATTCCTTAATTAATGCTTATTTGCCATCCTTTCTTTGGTGAGATGTCTTTTAAGGTCTTTGGCTCATTTTTGAGACATTCATTTCTCTTAGTTTTAAGAATACTTTGTATATTTTGAATAATAGTCTTGTATCAGATGTGTCTTTTGTAAATACTTTCTTCTAATGTATGACATATTCTCTTTACAGTGTCCCTAGGAGCAGGAATTTTTAATTTTAAGGAATTTCAACTCATCAATAATTTTTTCACAGATATGTATTTGGTATTGTACCTAAAAAGTTATTCCCATAACCAAGGTCATCTAGATTTTCTTCTGTTTAACTTCTAGGAGTTTCAAGGTTTTGCATTTTGCTTTTAGGTCAGTGAGCTAATTTTTGTGAAAGGTGAGAGGTCTGTGTCTAGATTTTATTTTTCATGTGGGTGTTCAGTTGTTCTAGCACCAGTAGTTGAAAGGATTATCTTTTCTTCTTGTGTTGTGTTTGCTCTTTTGTCGAAGATCAGTTTACTGTATTATGTGGGTGTATTTCTGTGTTCTCTCTTCTGTTCCACTGATCTACTTGTTTATTTTTGGCTGTTACCGCGTTTTCTTGGTTACTGTAGCTTCATAGGTAAATCTAGAAGTCAGGTAGTGTTAGTCTTCCAACTTTGCTCTTCTCCTTCAAAATTAAGTAGGCTCTCAGCATGTGTTGCCTCTTCATATAAACTTTAGAACCAGTTGTTGATATCCACAAAATATCTTGCTGGTATTTTACTGAAATTGTATTTTATCCATAGATCAAGTTGGGAAAAACTGACTTCTTGACAATATTGAATCTTCTTATCCATGAAGATTTTTCATGGGACATTTTTCCATTTATTTAGTCTTCTGTGATATCTTTTGTCAGTGATTGGTAGTTTTCCTCATAGGAACTGTTAGTTTTTCACTAAGGAGTTTTACCCATTCGAGAAGTCTACTTTGCCCCTGTGACCATCAATAGCCTTGTTAAAAGCCCAGGCTCTTCTTGTGAAAGGCTTGGGAAGTACTTCTAAGTGGCTAGGCTTGGTGGACCACTCTTGCTTTCTGACCTAGTTTTTCACAGCATTGCTCTTTTAAATTGATATATACTTTTGCTCATTTCTTATTTTTATTATATTATAATAGATTGTATATAATATAATATAATATAATATCATATATAGTGTACCCCTTTTTCTGAGTAAGTAAAATATATATAATATATAGTAAATATATAATAGATTTTATTATATTATAATAGATTTTTATTATAATCCTTGAATTATAATTCAAGGAGAAATAGTATCATTTTGGATTTTTCAGATCATGAAAATCATGGTAATCACCACCTCGCTTGTTTTAGCCCAACTCTTACTATATTTTATTGAGAATCAATCAGAACTCATATGTATTTCTGAAATAAACAGCAACTTATTTTAATTATATTATTTTTAAAGGAGTGTGTCTGATACTGTGCTTCTCATAATGCAGCCTTTTATTTACTCGCAGCCCAAGTTTCCAACTGCTTGAATTTCCCATTTGTATTTTACAAGAAAATGGTTAAATGTGTGTCAAAAACTCCAAAACTTACTTTGTACATGATATGATACCATACATTTAAAAAATTAATTTAACAGTATATTTTCTCTGCAAAATCAATAATGGCTTCTGAAATATACTCTGTGCTTATATTAAGTAATAGGCATATAGTTATTTTAGACATAAACTCTCCTTTTCAAGATTAATTATTTTCCTGTTTTCAATAGGCATTCTCTACTTAAAATATTACCTGCTCTAAGAATCCTCAATGATGAAATGCTAACCTCTTATTCAGAAAGTCACACTGAAGAACACCATCAACTAGAATTAGAGCATTTCCTGGTACTTTGTCGGTCCCAGATTAGAGAATTTAATTTACTAACTGAGAAATATATTACTGGAAAAGGGTAAGACTGTTATCTTTCCCTCGTTATAATTAAAAAATATAATGCAATTTATACATATGTTTAAAAATTATTCTCATTAATACAGTCATACTCTTTTGGATTAGTACAGTGTGTTTCAGGGATATTTTCGCTTTAAAATGAACTTCTAGGCACCATCTTTTTTATTATTTGAAATGTATTAATATGTATATTGAATATAATTTAAAACATAATTTAAATGTTAAACTAGATAAGATAGATAAGATAATGTTAAATGTTAAATTAGATAAGAATTGAAAGCATGGTGATGGTTTTAAGACAAGGTGCAAACATTCAGTTGGTTATACAATTAATTCAACAATTATTGATGGGCAAGACACATAA